TGCAACTACTCCATACTAGCTTGCAACAGCTCCATACTAGCTTGCAACAGCTCCATACTAGCTTGCAACAACTCCATACAACTTGCAACAACTCCATACTAGCTTGCAACTACTCCATACTAGCTTGCAACAGCTCCATACTAGCTTGCAACTACTCCATACTAGCTTGCAACAGCTCCATACTAGCTTGCAACAACTCCACACTAGCTTGCAACAGCTCCATACTAGCTTGCAACTACTCCATACTAGCTTGCAACAGCTCCATACTAGCTTGCAACAGCTCCATACTAGCTTGCAACAACTCCACACTAGCTTGCAACAACTCCATACTAGCTTGCAACGACTCCATACTAGCTTGCAACAACTCCATACTAGCTTGCAACTACTCCATACTAGCTTGCAACAGCTCCATACTAGCTTGCAACAGCTCCATACTAGCTTGCAACAACTCAACACTAGCTTGCAACAACTCCATACTAGCTTGCAACGACTCCATACTAGCTTGCAACAACTCCATACTAGCTTGCAACAACTCCACACTAGCTTGCAACAGTTCCATACTAGCTTGCAACAGTTCCATACTAGCTTGCAACAACTCCACACTAGCTTGCAACAACTCCACACTAGCTTGCAACATTGCCGTATATCATTCCCCGCCATATAACAGGTGATTTGCGATGAGATAACCCCGGTGGCAAGATCCGGCAGTCTGGCGGTGACTTATACAGAGGCGGACGGGGGATGGTTAGGGATGGGACAGGAGGGATGGTGGGGAATGGGAGGGGAGGGGTGGATAGCGGCGGGTGAAGGGGAGGAATAGGTGTGGGGAGGGAGCGGTTGGCATGGGGGGGGAAGGAGGAGGAGGAGGAGGGGGGGGAAAGGACCCGAGGAGTCGTCACGGAATCCAAGAAAAGATGGCGGTAGAGCAATGGTGGCGTCGTAGGCCGTGTCTACCCCGTCTACTGGATCTACGTCTACTCTACGTCTCTTGTCTCGTAGGTGTTTCTCTTCCAGTGACGGAGGGAGAGAGATGAGAAACATCTTGAGAGTTTTTAAGCCTGCTTAGAAAGCAGGGGGTCGGAGTAGACTTGACTGAGAAGTAAGATGTCTCAACAGAATCGGTTCAAGTACCACTCAAGCGGGCTTAAATACTACCCAGAACCAGCTCAAGGTACCGGTAAACTCCGGGCCCATTATCCGGGCACCAAGAGCTAAAGCCCTTTCAATCATGCGTGTGTGGAAGCGTTCATATGTTAAAAAAAAAAAAATGAAACAGTTATTGCGAAAAGTGTGTGAACTTTCAACAGTTTTAATTCGTATTCTAATGCTTCGTATCATTCGATCAGCCTGTTTATCTGTCTGTCTGTCTCTCTCTCTCTCTCTTAATTTAACGGAGACGTTTAGGCAGTATGATATAAAGGGGCGGCGCCCCTCAGGACTGTTGATAACTATCCATGCCTAATGACCAGACTGTTGTCCACCAGTTAAATATATGAACACACAGACACACACACACACACACACACACACACACACACACGTGTAAGTGTGTATTTACACACACACATTTATGTGCGTAAACATACACACACATGAATGTAAGGTAATGAAACTAGGAGGAGGAACTAGGAGGCCAGTCATTGGATACCCAATGGGAGATGAAGTCCTTCATGAAACGGACAGAGAGAAAAAGATCTAGGAGTTGATATCACACCAACCCTGTCTCCTGAAGCCCACATCAAAAGAATAACATCAGCGGCCTATGCGAGGCTGGCTAACATCAGAACTGCTTTCAGAAACCTGTGTAAGGAATCCTTCAGAACCTTGTATACCACATATGTAAGACCAATCCTGGAGTATGCAGCCCCAGCATGGAGCTCGTATCTAGTCAAGCACAAGACGAAGCTGGAAAAAGTTCAGAGGTATGCGTCTAGGCTAGTCCCAGAACTAAGAGGCATGAATTATGAGGACAGACTACGTGAACTGCACCTCACGTCGCTGGAAGACAGAAGAGCTAGGGGAGAAATGATCACCACATCAGACAGGGTGGACAAGGATGGATACACAGGTGGAAGCTGAGTACCCACATGAGCCACAGAGACATTAAAAAAAACATTTTCAGTGTCAGAGTAGTTAACAGGTGGAATGCATTAGGCAGCGATGTGTTGGAGGCTGACTCCATACACAGTTTCAAATGTAGATATGATAGAGCCCAGTAGGCTCAGGAATCTGTACACCAGTTGATTGACGGTTGAGAGGCAGGACCAAAGAGCCAGAGCTCAACCCCCGCAAGCACAACTGAGTACACACACACACACACACACACACACACACACACACACACACACACACACACACACACACATGCTGTAGGGGCCTCGTAGCCTGGTGGATAGCGCGCAGGACTCGTAATTCTGTGACGCGGTTCGATTCCCGCACGAGGCAGAAACAAATGGGCAAAGTTTCTTTCACCCTAAGTGCCCCTGTTACCTAGCAGTAAATAGGTACCTGGGAGTTAGTCAGCTGTCACGGGCTGCTTCCTGGGGTGTGTGTGTGTGTGGTGTGGGGGAAAAAAAAAAAAAAAAAAAAAAAAGTAGTTAGTAAGTTAGTAGTTAGTAAACAGTTGATTGACAGTTGAGAGGCGGGCCGAAAGAGCAAAGCTCAACCCCCGCAAAAACACAACTAGTAAACACACACACACACACACACACACACACACACACACACACACACACACACACACACACACATTTAAACGATAATGAATGAGTTGCTGTGATTCCATTTACTATTTAACTTATGCTGCTGCTGCTATTATATTCAGCATATGCTGCTGCTGATTTATTTCATGTGTTGCTCCTGTGATGAGTTCCATGTCATATATACTTCCAGGTCTCGTTCTGTCTTCTAGCTTCCCCTTGTAACCTTGCACTTAATTGTCTTGAGTTCCAGTAGCCATCTGGATGATCCCTTAGGTCTTAGGAGTGCCTTCTGCAGTACTTGGGCGGTTCTATATATGTGTGTGTTCGGGTGTGTGTGTTGAAGAGTGTTGCAAGTCAGGTGTTGCATGGGGGAAAGGGTGTAGGGGGTGTGGGGGTGGAGGGGGAGGGGAGCGGCGAGGCAGGGGGGCGTGAGGGGGCCGGCGGCGAGGCAGGGGGCGTGAGGGGGGCGGCGGCGAGGCAGGGGGGCGTGCGAGAGCTGTATCATCAGCTTTAACTGTGGCGAGAGTGGTCACAGAGTCGTAGAAAAGATGGCGGCCGTTCAATGGTGGCTTAGGGGAGAGAATGTCGCAGCGACGTTGTGGTTATGTTTACGTCGATGTTGGCGACGACGTGGTGATGTTACTGAGGTGGAAATGTCGGCGATGTGATGGTGATGTTGGCGATGATAGGGGGAGGGGGTGGGGGGTGTCACTGATGTTGGCGATGTAGGGGTCTCTGATGTTGGTAGCGATGGAGATCTAGCAGCAATGGCGATTTTATTGGGAGTTGCTGAATTGGTTGATGGTTCGGCCATGTTGTTAATATTTGAGCGATTTCATGGTGATGTGGTGGTGGTGGACTGTAGGTGATGTGGTGGTGGTGGTGGACTGTAGGTGATGTGGTGGTGGTGATGGTGGTGGTGGTGGTGGACTGTAGGTGATGTGGTGGTGGTGATGGTGGTGGTGGACTGTAGGTGATGTGGTGGTGGTGGTGGTGGTGGTGGTGGACTGTAGGTGATGTGGTGGTGGTGATGGACGTGATGTGGTGGTGGTGGTGGACTGTAGGTGATGTGGTGGTGGTGGTGGTGGTGGACTGTAGGTGATGTGGTGGTGGTGGTGGTGGTGGTGGTGGACTGTAGGTGATGTGGTGGTGGTGGTGGTGGTGGTGGTGGTGGTGGTGGACTGTAGGTGATGTGGTGGTGGTGGTGGTGGACTGTAGGTGATGTGGTGGTGGTGGTGGTGGACTGTAGGTGATGTGGTGGTGGTGGTGGACTGTAGGTGATGTGGTGGTGGTGGTGGTGGTGGACTGTAGGTGATGTGGTGGTGGTGGTGGTGGTGGTGGTGGACTGTAGGTGATGTGGTGGTGGTGGTGGTGGTGGTGGACTGTAGGTGATGTGGTGGTGGTGGACTGTAGGTGATGTGGTGGTGGTGATGTACTGTACGTGATGTGGTGGTGGTGGTGGTGGACTGTAGGTGATGTGGTGGTGGTGGTGATGGTGGACTGTAGGTGATGTGGTGGTGGTGGTGGTGGTGGACTGTAGGTGATGTGGTGGTGGTGGACTGTAGGTGATGTGGTGGTGGTGGTGGTGGTGGTGGTGGACTGTAGGTGATGTGGTGGTGGTGGTGGTGGTAGACTGTAGGTGATGTGGTGGTGGTGGTGGACTGTAGTGATGTGGTGGTGGTGGTGGTGGTGGTGGTGGTGGTGGTGGTGGTGGTGGTAGACTGTAGGTGATGTGGTGGTGGTGGTGGTGGTGGACTGTAGGTGATGTGGTGGTGGTGGTGGTGGTGGACTGTAGGTGATGTGGTGGTGGTGGTGGTGGTGGACTGTAGGTGATGTGGTGGTGGTGGTGGTGGTAGACTGTAGGTGATGTGGTGGTGGTGGAGGACAGTAGGTGCTGTGGTGGTGGTGGTGGTGATGGTGGTGGACTGTATAGGCGATGTATCTGACTGCTCCTATAAAAATGACCTGTTGATGTCCTGACTAACCTGTTAGCGATGTTGCAGGACTATTGCAACACTGCTGCCCCCCTGCCCCCCCCCCCGCCCCCCTTCATCCTGGGAGACAACAGAGCTGCTCTGTGGTCTCTGGTTTCAAGTGATCGCCTTTAAAAGCTGTACTTACTGGTCGCTAATGACCGAGGCTAGAAGGGAGGAGGGATAGCAGGGAGAGGGGATAGGGAGGCTGATATGAGGGGGGGGGGGGAGGGGGAGGGGGGGGAGCTGCCCCCTCCTCCCCCTCAAGCCGTGACTGACGGGTAGAGGTGTCAGCCCCCGGCTGTCAGTAGGACTGCAGGTGTTAATGGCGTCCAACACCCGCATCTTCCAGGTATTGTGAGGGTGAATAGCTTTTCGTTTATTTATTGGGTGAGAGAGGGAGGGAGGGGGAAGGAGCAGGAAGGGATAGGGAGGCACCCCTCTCCCTGTCTAAACAGGGGGAGGAGAGGGACAGGGACGCACCCCCTTCCCTGTCTAAACTTTATAATCGTCCCGTCTACAGCCGAGGCTTGCGATCAAGGGACAAGATTATGATTATGAAAGAGGGAGTTTTAGAGTCTTTCTTGTGGGGTCGGCCCTATTCTGCCGGTCACTAAGGATATATTACATCCTGATGACATATCCTTGCAAGGGGGGAGGTCCAGCCTCACGTGTGGTAATGGGTTGTGGGTCCAGTGTGGTGTGGTGGGTCCAGTGTAGTGTGGTGAGTCCAGTGTGGTGTGGTGGGTCCAGTGTGGTGTGGTGGGTCCAGTGTAGTGTGGTGGGTCCAGTGTAATGTGGTGGGTCCAGTGTAGTGTGGTGGGTCCAGTGTGGTGTGGTGGGTCCAGTGTGGTGTGGTGGGTCCAGCGTAATGTGGTGGGTCCAGTGTAGTGTGGTGGGTCCACTGTAGTGTGGTGGGTCCAGTGTAATGTGGTGGGTCCAGTGTAGTGTGGTGGGTCCACTGTAGTGTGGTGGGTCCAGTGTCGTGTGGTGGGTCCAGTGTAGTGTGGTGGGTCCAGTGTGGTGGGTCCAGTGTAGTGAGTAAAAGGTTGGGGGGGTCTAACATGAATAAGTGAGGTGCTTCTGTAAGGTTGAAACAAGAAGGTCTTGTAGTCCTCCACTCCTTTCATACTTTTCCCCAAATTCCATCCCCTCAAACCACCCCAGGTAACAATCATCCCAACCATGGAAAAAAAAAAACTCCAATAGTCCGGAGGTCCCCGGGGGGAGCGGCGCGCCCCCCGGCGGCCGACACGCACCGCCACCACCGCGGGGGAAAAACACTGGTAATTAGATTTTCCCCACACACCAAAATTGTACACTGTAAAAGTCACACACACAGTATGCAAATCAGTGGCTCCTGCGTTACCGCTGGGGAGGACAGGAGGGCGCAGGGGAGGAGAGGAGGAAGCATGGAGAAGAGGAGGAAGCAGAGACTAGAGGAGGAAGCAGAGACGAGAGGAGGAAGCAGAGACGAGATGAGGAAGCAGGGAGAAGAGGAGGAAGCAGGGAGAAGAGGAGGAAGCAGGGAGAAGAGGAGGAAGCAGGGAGAAGAGGAGGAAGCAGAGACGAGAGGAGGAAGCAGAGACTAGAGGAGGAAGCAGAGACGAGAGGAGGAAGCAGAGACGAGAGGAGGAAGCAGAGACGAGAGGAGGAAGCAGAGACGAGAGGAGGAAGCAGAGACGAGAGGAGGAAGCAGAGACGAGAGGAGGAAGCAGAGACGAGAGGAGGAAGCAGAGACGAGAGGAGGAAGCAGAGACGAGAGGAGGAAGCAGAGACGAGAGGAGGAAGCAGAGACGAGAGGAGGAAGCAGAGACGAGAGGAGGAAGCAGAGACGAGAGGAGGAAGCAGAGACGAGAGGAGGAAGCAGAGACGAGAGGAGGAAGCAGAGACGAGAAGAGGAAGCAGAGACGAGAAGAGGAAGCAGAGAGGAAAGGGGGAGATACAGAGAGGATAGGAGAACAGAAGAGAATTTGCTACAACATTTGAAGTGGGAAAAACAATGCCTTTGGTTCATGAAAATACTGTTGGAAAATTATTAGTTACAAACAGCCCTCATTGTGTTAACTGTCATTTATAAAATACCTTGTAAAAACTACAATAAATTCTATATAGGTCGAACATCTAAATAATTTCAAATTTCGCAGCATATTCTGTAAAAAAATTAACAATTATCTAATGCTCTATTTGTTCATTTGGCAGAAAATTCTCACCAAATTAACTGAGAGAGGTCGTATTCAATAACTAATTGTAAAGGCATTTTCAACAGATACATTAAGGAATCTGCTTTAATACAAATTACAAGGCCATACAATACTAACATTAATAATAGCCTGTACAATTTGGATCCATTTTTAACTGATCAATAATTAAAAATGGATTATATTTTTATATGGACAATATTAAATGCTGCTTGGACTAAAGCAATGCTGCTTGGACTAAAGCAATGCTGCTTGGACTAAAGCAATGCTGCCTGGACTAAAGCAATGCTGCCTGGACTAAAGCAATGCTGCCTGGACTAAAGCAATGCTGCTTGGACTAAAGCAATGCTGCTTGGACTAAAGCAATGCTGCCTGGACTAAAGCAATGCTGCTTGGACTAAATCAATGCTGCTTGGACTAAAGCAATGCTGCCTGGACTAAAGCAATGCTGCTTGGACTAAAGCAATACTGCTTGGACTAAAGCAATGCTGCTTGGACTAAAGCAATGCTGCTTGGACTAAAGCAATGCAACTCAAACTTACATTTGAGCCATAACGGGAGGGATATTTAGCTGCCAATTACAACAATGATATACCTCGCATTGTAAAGACAAAGTTAGGTTTAACTATGAGCGATAACACATATATTGACACAACAGATATCACAAAATTAGGATGACGGGACAATTAGAAGATGAGTTTAAATTAGTGGAACGAGTTAAACGAGCATTAGTGAGACAACTAATGTAAATTAATCATCTAATATAAACTAATCCTACCATGACATTATACTTATGAGTAATTAAATTCAATATTTGTAGTGTCCATAATTTTTATAGAGTTCATGGCATGTGTTGCATATCAAGGGGAAAACAGCTGACTGTATGATATACAAATTCTATACACATTTAGTGTCACTTTTCTTCAACAAAATGGGATAACGTCCTCATCGCTTGAACCGAACCGTCATGCAGGTCGGCGTTCAATACCCGACCAAGTGCTTGAACACCATTCCTCTCCCCCCTCCCCCCCCGGACCTATCCCAAATTCTTATCCTGACACCCCCCCCTTTCCAAGTGTTATAGAGTCGTAATGGCTTGGCGCTTTCCCTTGATATTTCCCTTCCCTTCTACCTAAGGGCAATATATTATATATATATATATTAAACCTAGAAGGGGTACCACCTCTGGTGCAGGTCCCATAGCCTCGGAGAAGAAAATAAAGAGTACTAAGAGAAGACCTTGTGGATCCTCGTTGAACACTGATATTTTCTTCTCCTACCACCCCTATTCTTTTGGTATATGTGTATATTTATCTAACTTTATTTGAAAATGTCATTACACAAAAAAAGTTACAATATTGATTACATGCATGGTACAAGGCTGCTTGTCACAAGTTGAATAGCTCCTCCAGCTCCTCAGATGGCGGGCAGGAACCATGGATGCAGTGAGCATTTCCTCTCTGGATTGCCACACTAAGGCGCTGAAAAAGAAAACTGGCAGCTCTAGGGTCTCTAGTTGTTTCGATTAGCTTAGACCCCAACTCCTTCAAAAAGCTAGCAGCACTTTTACCCCAGACACCAAGTGTCTCTGAGGCAATGGGGACAAAATTGTAGTGGTGCTCAAGGTCTCTGTATTTACGTGACTTGGCCGCTTCCCGGTGATTGGCAGCTCCTCCTGCTTGTGTAGCACTGAAGACAACGTCTTAGTCAAAGACGTTGAAGTCAAAGTCTTAGAAAGATATATATATATATATATATATATATATATATATATATATATATATATATATATATATATATATATATATATATATATAGCTAGCAAATTTAATAATGTTAATAATATGCAAAGAGGCACCCCAAAGTGGAGGAATGGGGTGTAGGTGGAATGGGGTGGAGGCAGAGTGGCGCACGTGAAGAAACAGATGAAGGTGTGTTTGTAAAGATGGAGGTGAGGGGGGGGGGGTGTTAGGGTTAGAGTAGAGAGGGGTGCAAGGTGAGATGGGAGTAATGGTGGAGGAGGCGCAATAGAGGCAGCTTTCAGCAGTGTGCAGCCACAGTAGACCCACAAGCGGCCCGCGCCCCGTCTGGGAAACCCCAAAGAAAATACCAGAGCAGCGGAAAGAAGGTTTGAGATCCAATTACCCTACCTTCTCATTCGGTTATATGGGATTCTATTCGATTAATGGAGCACGAGTTTGAATAGGAAATATTGGTTCTTTTTTTGCGCGCGTGTGCGTGCGTGTGCGTGCGTGTGCGTGTGTGTGTGTGTGTGTGTGTGTGTGTGTGTGTGTGTGTGTGTGTGTGTGTGTGTGTCAACCCGTTCTCGCAAATTTAATATGTCAATATTGACTTATTAAATATGTGCATAGGTGATATACTAAACATAATAGATACCCTTAAAAAGATTCATAGAAAACACCGACCTTACCTAACCTTGTTAGTATCTTAAGATAAGCATCTTATTGCTTCGTAATTACAATTATTACCTAACCTATAATAGGTATAGGTTACGTAATAATTGTAATTACGAAGCAATAAGATGCTTATCTTAACATACTAACAAGGTTAGGTAAGGTCGGTGTTTTCTATGAATCTTTTTAAGGGTATCTATTATGTTTAGTATATCACCTATGCACGTAGTTAATAAGTCAATATTGACTTTACGAATGTGCGAGAACGGGTTGGTGTGTGTACACCCCAACTCCCTAACTCCGTCTCTGGTAATTGTTACGCTCAGCGCTTGTGTTCGAGTGTTCGAGTGTTCGAGTGTTCGAGCGTTCGAGCGTTCTCTCACTCTTGTCCCCGAGTGCCTTCAGCATTTGCGTTCAGCTTCGATGACTTGTTATGTGTGTCGAGTAAGATAAGCAAGTCGTAGCTTTGAGGCTATACTTACCGCTCGTGTCGAGCACTCGACATCCTCTTCATCTTGTCGTAAAGGGGAGAGGGAGAGGGGGGGGGGGGGGGGGAGAGGGAGGCAGGGGGGGAGGGAGGGGGGGAGGCAGGGGGGGGGGAGAGGGAGGCAGGGGGGGGGGAGAGGGAGGCAGGGGGGGGGAGAGGGAGGCAGGGGGGGGAGGGGGAGCAGGGGGGGGGAGGGAGGGGGGGGGGGGAGAGGGAGGCAGGGGGGGGGAGAGGGAGGCAGGGGGGGGAGAGGGAGGCAGGGGGGGGGAGAGGGAGAGGGGGAGAGGGAGAGGGAGGGTGAGAGGGAGAGGGGGGTGATAGGGAGAGGGGGGTGAGAGGGAGAGGGGGGTGAGAGGGAGAGGGGAGGGAGAGGGAGGCAGGGGGGGGATATGGAGGCAGGGGGGGGGGGAGAGGGAGAAAGACGGAGGAGGGGGGGAGAGGGGGGAGAGGGAGGGAGGGAGGGAGGGAGGGAGGGAGGGAGGGGGGAGAGAGGGAGGGAGGGAGGGAGGGGGGGAGGGAGGGGGGGAGGGGGAGAGGGAGGGAGGGAGGGAGGGAGGGAGGGAGGGAGGGAGGGGAGAGAGAGAAAACATTATCAAGAAACAACATAACATTCACCCAAAGATAGTACGAAGCTGGTCCTTATTAATAACGCCTCGATACTTCAGAGAATATATATGTACTAAGGAATAACTACGTCCATTGACTAAAGGGGGGAAAATAGGTGCCAAACGGGTAATCTGGCGGAACTGTCCTCAAACATTCAGATCTGATAGGAAAGAACTTACTGACTCCCAACGACCTGAAAGTACTAGTATAAAAAGCTATGATTTGTTCAAATCTGAAACCTACATCTATGGACAGCACAAAACGTCCACTAGACTGTGCGACACAGTGGTTGCAAGGATCAGGTTGGGTTACCGTTACCTGTGGCAGGTGGCTGCAGGTGACGGGTCTCCCAATCCTGAGCACTCCAGTTGCAAACTCTGTGAGCAGGAACAACGGCACGATCTCCCGCACTACATCACTGAATGCCCAGTTATTGGCCCTTTCAGACCAGTTGGCATGAGGTACCTGGAGCTTTGCAATTACTTTATTTACTCTCGTATTCTTGAAGATATCCTCACAGTATACCCAAAATTTGCCAGTGCAGGCTATTAAACACATGGCTCTGTATGACTAACCATCCTGCGAGATGGGGACTTGTATTACCACTGCTACCTTATTCAATCTTGTGTTGATGATATCCTCAAAATGCATCCGGAGTCTGCCAGTGCAGACTGCCCATCACATGCCTCTGTATGACTAACCATCCTGTGTGATGGGGATTTTTTTAGCATCACCTAGTTAGCTTTTTGACACACTGTACTCCACTTCATATAGTCTAGGGCAGCTGCACTAATGCAGATGTACCTCATATATTAATAAAAAAAAAAGAAAGATCCGCTCTGAGGGAGGCTGGGACTAGACTGAGATCTCCTGCGTCTCACAATGCAGCCTCCAAGATGCTCTATATGGAGTTTTTGACTTAAACCAAAAACAGAATTAGGGAACCACCCATTTAGAACTGGAATCGTAAAAGGGGGGAGTGGGGAAAGAGTAGCCCTTGTTCATGACGTTTCAGGGGCCAGATTCACGAAGCAGTTACGCAAGCACTTACAAACCTGTTCATCTTTTCTCAATCTCTGGCGGCTTTGTTTACAATTATTAGACAATTACATGAGCTCCGAAGCACCAGGAGGCTGTTTATAACAATAACAACAGTTGATTGAGAAGTTGTCATGCTTGTAAACTGTTTAATAAATATAACCAAAGCCGTCAATCATTGAGGAAAGATGTAAACGTTCGTAAGTACTTGCGTAACTGTTTCGTGAATCTGGCCCCTGGACAAGAACGTGACAAAGACAACTACAGGAGGCCTATTGGCCTATGCTGTTTGGCTGAGTTGAAACTGAGTGCTCTACTAACTGGGAGTGAATAACTCAATTTTAAAAGACACCTGCGATGTTTCATATGACCTCTACTCTTAACTTCTTGACATTTTTCGGATATCTGATATTTGAATTCCAAGATTTAAGTTCCATTTTTTAAATATGCAAATGAATTTACTATTTTCACTATTCCTATATTGATATGAATCACTTCATAACAAGTTGGGTGATATACTTAGTAGGCTTCGTGGTCCAGTTACACTCACAGGTGTAGCATCTCTCATGAGTGGGGTGAGGGGTGGGATAATTACCTTATCAGGAGAAAGTGCTAAGCCATTACGACTATATAGAAACAGGAAAGCATTTAAGATCTATAAGAGTTTTATACCTATTATAAGCCAGCTACCATCTTGTGTAACTCATGAGCCTTTTACTCAACACCTTGTGTAACTCATGAGTCCTTTATTCAACACCTTGTGTAACTCATGAGCCTTTTACTCAACATCTTGTGTAACTCATGAGCCTTTTACTCAACACCTTGTGTAACTCATGAGTCCTTTACTCAACACTTTGTGTTACTGATGAGCCTTTTACTCAACATCTTGTGTAACTCATGAGTCCTTTATTCAACACCTTGTGTAACTCATGAGCCTTTTACTCAACATCTTGTGTAACTTATGAGCCTTTTACTCAACACCTTGTGTAACTCATGAGCCTTTTACTCAACATCTTGTGTAACTTATGAGCCTTTTACTCAACACCTTGTGTAACTCATGAGTCCTTCACTCAACACTTTGTCTGACTCATGACTCCGTCCTTCCCCCCCCCTTTTCCAGGCGGGGGGGGGGGGGGGGGGGCTATAGAGTCAGTGTTTAATGCTTCCCTCGGGACAGGTGAAACCAAACAGGAGTTTTCGTCTAGGACGTTAACTGGTTAGGTGGTTAAAACCTGTTCGAACGTTGTACCAACGTCGTAGTTTCGGTGTGTGTTCGGCACAAGTGTATAATGACTAGAGAGGCTATTTAAACACAAGAGGTTGCCTAACTACCCCCTAAAACAACCATAAGTAGGTTTCATACGCTGAGGGGTTTTCTTCTCTCGAGCAACATGTTGCAAGGGTCAGCAGTAACAGCAAATCATTGCAACAGGATAAGGGACGGGGGGGAATCGAACCAGCATACGTCTTGGGTGAGCCACAGATGCGCGCCTTAAGCACGACATGCTAAACATAATATATAACTTATGTATCTGCTATATAACGCTTCTAGATACACTATAGCCTATAGTGCCACAGCTCTATAAGGTCATGATTAGGAGGAAGCGCTAAGCCAATATGATAGCATTTATATACATATACGGTTTGTCACTGTCGGGGGAACAAACTATAGGTGAACAGAGACATCAGTGTAAGGAATATTGTCCCTAATGTTTTCCCTACCCCCCCTTTTCCTTGCCCGGGAATCGAACCCGGGGAAAGTTTGCCAGTGAACAAAACTGTTTCCCCCTCGCCTTTCAAGTCACACTTCTTATATTCTTGTTGTTCTGTTCCTTCTCGCGCGACGGAACAGAAAAAAACACACATTACAGGTACAATATGTTGGCGGGGGGGGGGAGGGGAGCTGGGTGAGGCAGGTAGTACTGCTGCTGGGCGAGGCAGGTAGTGCTGCTTCTGGGCGAGGCAGGTAGCACTGCTGCTGCTGCTGGGCGAGGCAGGTAGCACTGCTGCTGCTGGGCGAGGCAGGTAGTACTGCTGCTGCTGGGCGAGGCAGGTAGTGCTGCTGCTGCTGGGCGAGGCAGGTAGTACTGCTGCTGCTGGGCGAGGCAGGTAGTACTGCTGCTGCTGGGCGAGGCAGGTAGTGCTGCTGGGCGAGGCAGGTAGTACTGCTGCTGCTGCTGGGCGAGGCAGGTAGTGCTGCTGCTGCTGGGCGAGGCAGGTAGCACTGCTGCTGCTGGGCGAGGCAGGTAGTACTGCTGCTGCTGCTGGGCGAGGCAGGTAGTGCTGCTGCTGCTGGGCGAGGCAGGTAGCACTGCTGCTGCTGGGCGAGGCAGGTAGTACTGCTGCTGCTGCTGGGCGAGGCAGGTAGTGCTGCTGCTGCTGGGCGAGGCAGGTAGTACTGCTGCTGCTGCTGGGCGAGGCAGGTAGTGCTGCTGCTGCTGCTGCTGGGCGAGGCAGGTAGCACTGCTGCTGCTGCTGCTGGGCGAGGCAGGTAGTACTGCTGCTGCTGCTGGGCGAGGCAGGTAGTACTGCTGCTGCTGCTGGGCGAGGCAGGTAGTGCTGCTGTTGGGCGAGGCAGGTAGCACTGCTGCTGCTGGGCGAGGCAGGTAGTACTGCTGCTGCTGCTGGGCGAGGCAGGTAGTGCTGCTGCTGGGCGAGGCAGGTAGCACAGCTGCTGCTGGGCGAAGCAGGTAGTGCTGCTGCTGCTGCTGGGCGAGGCAGGTAGCACTGCTGCTGCTGCTGGGTGAGGCAGGTAGCACTGCTGCTGCTGCTGGGCGAGGCAGGTAGTGCTGCTGCTGCTGGGCGAGGCAGGTAGTGCTGCTGCTGCTGGGCGAGGCAGGTAGCACTGCTGCTGCTGCTGCTGGGCGAGGCAGGTAGCACTGCTGCTGCTGCTGCTGGGGCGAGGCAGGTAGCACTGCTGCTGCTGCTGCTGGGCGAGGCAGGTAGCACTGCTGCTGCTGCTGCTGGGCGAGGCAGGTAGCACTGCTGCTGCTGCTGCTGGGCGAGGCAGGTAGCACTGCTGCTGCTGCTGCTGGGCGAGGCAGGTAGCACTGCTGCTGCTGCTGGGCGAGGCAGGTAGCACTGCTGCTGCTGCTGCTGGGCGAGGCAGGTAGCACTGCTGCTGCTGCTGCTGGGCGAGGCAGGTAGCACTGCTGCTGCTGCTGCTGGGCGAGGCAGGTAGCACTGCTGTGCTGCTGCTGGCGAGGCAGGTAGCAATGTGCTGCTGCTGCTGGGCGAGGCAGGTAGCACTGCTGCTGCTCACGTTTAACAAGGCGGCGAGGGTGGTGGTGGTGTTGTGATTGCGGGCGCTGGAGGCGCTTCCACCTCACTAATTGGCGCGCTAAGGTTACTATCCCTCCCCCTCCATCCACCTCCCCCCCCCCAAACACCCCCAACCCACTCCCCCCCACCCCTACCCTTTCTTCCAGCAGTCTTCCAATTCCACGTAAGATTTCCGTCAGCTGTAAGAGTCGCATGGCTAGCCCCGTCGCGACGAAGAAGGCCCTCAAGGAGGTTGACTACTCAAGAGACCATTGGAAACTAGTCAGCGGTGAATAAGGAAAAATAAATATATATATAGTGCTTCTTAGCGACGAGGAAGCAAACCTCCTCCCCCTCCCCCCCCCCCCCCCACATTGACTAACGATGACCCTGTGTAAGCCTGGTATAAAAGGGTGTGCCAGCACTAATGATCACCAGGGTGCGGGATCGAAGCCTTTTGCTCATTACCAATGTCTTAAGTGTAATGAGACGGTGTGGAGAGATAGGGAACACTCTAGTCCGTGTACAGCATCAGTAAAGAATGGGGTGGAGGAGGGAGAAAAGAGGAAGGGGAGGGAGAGAGAGAGAGAGGGGGGGAGAGAGAGAGAGGGGGGGAGAGAGAGAGAGGGGGGGAGAGAGAGAGAGGGGGGGGAGAGAGAGAGAGAGAGAGAGAGAGAGAGAGAGAGAGAGAGAGAGAGAGAGAGAGAGAGAGAGAGAGAGAGAGAGAGAGAGAGAGAGAGAGAGAGAGAGAGAGACAGACAGACAGACAGAGATGAACTGCTGTCACGATGGAGTAGATATATATTCGAGTGTGCAGGGTGCAGAGTGCAGAGTGCAGAGTGTGCTTTAGCTCTAGGGAACTCTTTTTGAGACTGTGTGTGTGTGTGTGTGTGTGTGTGTGTGTGTGTGTGTGTGTGTGTGTGTGTGTGTGTGTGTGTGTGTGTGTGTGTGTGTGTGTGTTCGTGTGTGTGTGTGTGTGTTCGTGTGTGTGTGTTCGTGTGTGTGTGTTCGTGTGTGTGTGTTCGTGTGTGTGTGTTCGTGTGTGTGTGTTCGTGTGTGTGTTCGTGTGTGTGTGTGTGTACTCACCTAGTTGTACTCACCTAATTGTGCTTGCGGGGGCTCAGCTCTGTCTCTTTGGTCCCGCCTCTCAACTGTCAATCAACTAATGTACAGATTCCTGAGCCTACTGGGCTGTGTCATATCTACATTTGAAACTGTGTATGGAGTCAGCCTCCACCACATCACTGTCTAATGCATTCCATCTGTTAACTACTCTGACACTGAAAAAGTTCTTTCTAACGTCCCTGTGGCTCATTTGGGTACTCAGTCTCCACCTGTGTCAGCTTGTTCGCGTCCCACCCGTGTTAAACATTTTATCTTTATCTACTCAGTCAATTTCTCTGAGAATTTTGTAGGTAGTGATCATGTCTTCCCCTTAGACTCTCACACACTCCCCATGTTTGAGTGTGTGTGTGTGTGTGTGTGAGTGTTCCTTCTTACATGCTAACATTTTTAATCTTGCGTGTTCGCGTCAGCTGCGCATGTATGCCCTGCGCCTAAGTTTAGTGCTTCGCTTACAAGTAACATTTACACATAAGTAGTAACAGTTTATAAGTGTAATGTCTCATCTGGAGCGTCCCTACTGGTCCAAATACAAGCCGTCACTGTATACTACAAACAGTGTTTGACGTAAGGTAAGGGGCTGGCGGCCTTTAGGTAAGATCAGGCGACCTAAGGTGAGGGCAGGCGACCTAAGGTGAGGGCAGGCGACCTAAGGTGAGGGCAGGCGACCTTAGCTAAAGACAGCCAACCTCAGCTAAGGGCAGTCGACCTTAACTAAAGGCTCTCGACGCCAAACAAACTTGACCAATTGTCACGCCATGCGCCAAACAGCCAACATCAGGATGTAATCCCAAGACACTCCTGTCCTCCAGACGTCATCAACATCCCAGAGAGAGAGACTAGCAACACTAACACTCATCCTAACAAAGCAGTTATTATTCCTACATTGTGGGATTGAACTCAGGCGTCGACGTCGTGTTATAGTGGTAAGTTATAACGCCTATAATGACGCCTGTATAGGTCAAAAAGGTCAAAAAGATCAAAAAGATCCTGGTCAAAAAGAATCAGAAGACATGAAGCTGGAAATGCGATTATGACAGGTGTTCTTTGGATGGTGTCCTTGTACAGTGTTCTTGTATGGTGTTATTCTATGCTCCTCCTTGTATGGTCCATTAGAATGGTGTCCTGTATAGTACTCTTGCATAGTATCCTTGTATGGTGCACTTGTATAGTGTCCTCCTATAATGGGGTTGTGTGGTATCTCCTCTGGAATCATATCTCCACTTACACGATTCTCCACTCCACAGGAATTCTCCTGAAATCATATCTCCACTCCACTGAGTATCGTCCTCCCAGTTAGTTGCCTGTACAGGCTGCAGCGACCATTTAGAACTGAGGTGGGAGTAGATTCATAGGGGGCAGGAGACCCAGCTTCCCCTTTCACACTGGTAGCGAGAGACGCACACAACATCATTCCTAAGTGGAGTGTTGCCCACGCAATGGATAACACGCAATAATCGTTCCCATACCGAAGCCCAATGACTCTATCAATTACAGACGTATCAGTCTCGTGTCATGCACTTGCAAGATGCTTAAAAGGATCATCCTAAACTGACTGTTGCACAAAATAGGCAGGTTAGGGGAGGGGGGTCAATGGATTTGTTAAAAGACGGAGCACAGCAAATTGTATAGTTGATTACCTGGCTAATGACACAGCTAAGTACTCTGTATTTGTTGACATCAAAGGAGCTTTCGACAAAGCACAGGGGGATTACGATCCAGGACGAGCTTGCATGCATGGTTGTCAATGGGAGACTCATGAAATGGACTGAAGACTACCTCACAGGAAGGAAAGCCAAGGTTTGCTTCAATGGAGCAGTCTCAAGAACAATGAGTATGGAACTCGGGGACCCCTCAAGGAGGAGTCTTAAGCCCTACACTATTCAACATACTTATGAACGCCATTGCAAATATTGAATTTGCCGAAGGAACACAACAAGTGGGATATGTAGATGATGTCCTAATACAAGCTCCCACCTTGGGACAAATTAAACATTCCATTGAACTCCTTGGAAGGAAATGGGTTGAACTCGGTTTCACTCTCCCCACAAACAAGACAAAAGCATACTTTCATCACAAGCTGAGAGAAAATGAAGAACTACAAATTAATGGTGTAACGCTTAAATAGGTTGACCACTATCGGTACCTTGGCGTCACTGTCGGCTCTAACAAGGGAAAGAAAGAGGAGCTCAATCAACTCATAGGAACATGCAAAGGTCGACACAGAGCACTGAAAACTATGACCTGGAATGGACATGGAGCCTCTATTGCCGTGCTTAAAATGATGTACACAGCCTATGTGCGCTCCGTCATAGACTATGACGCACCAGTTTTGTGCACTTATCCCCAAAGCGATATGAAAAATCTTCAAAACATACAAAATGAAGACATGACAATCATTCTTGGAGTCCCAAGACCTGCCGAAACATCTAATCTACGATATGAGTTGTCCCTCCCAGTGTTAAAAGCAGAATTAAGGAACTGAATGCTAAGCCCGACTCATGCCCATTGAGGATAATTCTGCCCTATGCAGGATTATCCTCAATGAGATGACAACGAAACAGTCCAACATGATGCCACAAGAAATGAGGCACAGGTATCTCGAGGAAATTTATAAAGAAGCCGGAAATGAATTAGATCAAATCTACACTGATGGGTCAGCTAATCCTGTCAATGGCAGAGCTGGTGCAGCATACACGGTAATTAGGAATAATGATTTTCAACGCGGAAATGAAGAAAAAGAACATATTGAGAACTATGCCTCTTCAACGCAAGCAGAGCTACTGCCATTGTTACGGCGTTAAGATTCCTTGAACGAACCATTAATGGTGCAGTGATCTACATTGATTCAAAAGAAGCATTACAAAGCCTTAGTAAAAATCGGGCAGAAAATCTTGCGATAGTAGCTGAAATCAAGAGAGCTGAGAGGGTACTAACCAACCAGGGAAGAGTCGTCAAATTTCTCTGGATCCCCTCCCATGTTGAAATATGTGGGAATGAACAAGCAGATGTGCTGGCTGCTGAAAGCGCTGACGGAGACCACATTTAATACTTCATACCCAAGACTCTTCTACAAATTACATGTATTATCAGGTAATATCATCGAGACAAGGTAACTTAGGAAAGGAAAACAGAAGAACAACTCAGTGAATCTGTACGATGGTACAATGTGATTGTAGCTGACAATCCCAATCATTATATATAACAACACCAGGACCAAATATCAACCAGGTATCAACCAGGTATTATGGCCGAAGAGGAGGTCGCCGCGGGAGAGAATCAGTAATAGCGAGAATCCGTCTTGGATACAAATATCCATGAAGATTAGGAATGGAAACAAGAGTTGAGCAGCGGAGTTGAAGAATCTGTGATGAGTGTGATGGACACCGCCTTGACCACTACCTGAGAGAATGTGAACATCTAAGAGTCATTAGAAATATGTGTAGAGTAATAAACCCCAAATTGTTTGAGTTAGGAAAACACTATTTGTCAAATGTTGATACTGTTCTTAAAAGATTTCCCCATTTTGCACCCGCAAGATAACGTAAGCTTTCAAGGGTTGACAGATGTTAATCTTCTTGTTTGAGGAGCTGTTCACTTGAGACAGTTAAGCAAGTCCCAGCTGTGTCTGGGTACAAGTGACAGGATGAACAACCCAGCGGGTTTTCTTCCTATTGGGGAGTGTTGTACAGGCTGCTATGGCGGTGTGTCCACTCACAGGATGAGTGGCGCTGCCCAATACTATCACCATGGCGGTATGTCCACTCACAGGATGAGTGGCGCTGCCCAATACTGTCACTATGGCGGTGTGTCCACTCACAGGATGAGCGGCGCTGCCCAATACTGTCACCATGGCGGTGTGTCCACTCACAAGATGAGTGGCGCTGCCCAATACTGTCACTATAGCTGTATATTCACTCACAGG